GGATTATGAGGGTTGGAAATGCAAAGGTAGATGTTTTGTAACAAGGAAGGGAGTGATTAATTCTCCAGTCTAGGAGTGAAGGTCCCTGGGACCATCAATGGAGAAGAACCTAGAGCGGGACCCTACCCAGAGAAACAGATGCCTGAGATAGAGACAGAGATGATGACATGGAAGTGGCTGGGGACCTTGGATCCAGCAAGGCAAAGGGACTGTGGACTGAAAACTGGGGGTGGGGGGGGGGGTTGGGGGAAGATGAGGGGTCTGCTCTTTCAGGAGAGGACACAGACCAGGGCATGACAGTCCCCTTTGCCCACCCCTTCTACCTGCTGCCTGTCCCACTGGCCACTGCCCAGCAGCTAGGGAAGAATAGCACGGTTCCCAGGCCCAGGGCCTCCTTGGGGCCTCTTGGCAGTTGGCACACAAGTTAGAGGTTGGTTCCCAGGGAATAGCTCAGTGCTGGCATTTCAGGATCCCATCCCCTGACATCTGAACTGTGACTTCTCTGGAATAGACTTATGTGGGAGGGCTAGGAGCCTTCCCAGATTTCTGGGCAAGAGGAGCTTGTCAGGCTGGTGTGTGGATGCTCCAAGGTGGCAGAACCTGGGGCAGGGTGAGAAGAGGAGACACTCCCCTCAGTCACACTCCCCTCAGAGGAAGACAGTCCACTCAGCCTGACCCTCCCCAGCCTGCAGAAACTGGGTATGCAGAGGCAACAGGCTCTGGAGCCGGGGTGGTGGTGGGATTCTAGAGCTTCACCAACTTACTCTTCTCTTTCTTCTCTGTCTTGCCTAAATGACCTTTAACCTCTCCTCCAAGTGTCAAGATCCCGAAAATAGCAGTGTAGACTTAGACAGGAAATGAAAAGGGGGTGGGGAGCTGGAGAGCAGACAGACAGGAAATGGGAGGCCTGTCGGCCCCCAGAGAGGAAACTAACTTCAGGCAGCTTTGGTGTCAGTCAGCCTCAGCCAGAGCCTGCTGCCAAATCTCAGCCAAGCCTGGTGTTCAGCCCCAGCCCCACTCTCTGTAGCTTGGGGTGTGGCCAGCAGACATGGCGCTCTGTTCCAGCCTTGGGGGAGAAGTCGTTCTGGAAGGCAGTTTTGACACAACAGGTCTATAAAGAGCCCCAGACATTCCGAGGGGAACAGAGCACTCAGAAGAGCAAGGGTTTCATTCTGAGAGTTTTATGTCTATGTGCTGTGGAATGAATGTGCCATATAACAGTCCTCTAGGAATTGCTCCTCCTGACTCTCATTCCAGGGATATCTCAGCCCAAAAGGACTGAAGAAGGAAGGGTACAAATGCCCTAGTACATTCTATGACACCTAACAACAACAACAAACCTCTTTGTCAACCTTCCTGCCTCCCTGGAGGAGGGGTATGGCCTAGGCCTGTGATTGTTCTACCAAATTCACTGACTAAACCCAGAGCTTCCACACATCCCTCTTTGCTCATTACTTCCTAAAACACCTTTCCTTGAACTCAGTGGAGAGCCTGTTAGCCAAATCTGCCTCTCTTTAGCCAGAACTCTCTCTTCCTGGGTCCCTTTCTGTGCCTGTGTTTTGAGTGAGACTTGAGTCAACTTGGAGACCTGCTGGTGTATGTCAAGCATCCTCTAGCACAGGTTTGTGGGGCCGATGTGAATGCTCTGAATACCTCCATTCCATCTAATGCTGAACAAGGATAATGTACTTAGCCCCATGTTAGACACCAGGAATACAGGTAACAACTGAGTCAGGGTCCTGGCCCTTAAGGAGAAAACATATGGCACCTTGTTTGCTGGAACACTTCCATGGTAAAGCGAGTGGTCCTTTTCCTCTTCCCTGCTCCCCTGCCTAGGGGAGGTCTAGGCCAGTGGTAGGACCATGGATGGGTTTGCTCTGACATCTGGTCTCCAGGATTTTCCAGGCTGGTGCTAAGCTCCAGAAGGACCTGGGAGAAGGTGTTGCTGGGTCAGAGGCCCCTTGCCCCTTCACTGTTGAGCTGCTTCAGCAGACCCCTTCCACTGTGTTTGCTTTGTCTACAGGTGGGTACGGGAGTTTCTGAATGATGGGAACAAAGGCCTGGATGTGCTGGTGGACTACTTGTCCTTCGCCCAATGTTCCGTCATGTGAGTACCATGTGGGGTTGAGGACAGGAGAAGGGTCCATCCAGGGCACAGTTTTTATTTCAAAGGTGAAGATGGGAATGGAAATCCCAAGGGAGGAAATCGTTTGAGATTTGAAATGGGTAGACAAGCATGTCAGGGTCAGTGAAGAATGCCATTTGGCTAGAGTAGATGGTCATTGTTGGGATAGGGATATGGAGAGGGATCTTGGAGTCAGAACCCAAAGTTTCTGAACCCCACTCTGTAAACAACCTCTGGTTTCTGGGAGAGTTGCCAAGACGGAATTCACTCTCCTTTGGAAAATTGAGTCTTCGGGGAGCTCCCTCAGGGATCCAGATGTGAGAGGGTCACTCCAGCTGCTTGTTGAAGAGCCCCAGGAGCAGTGAGTGTAACCTTTGACCCCCATTGACTATGAAACATCCAGGAGTCTCTTTCAGGTTAGGAGCTTGGAGGCAGCCAGGAGCAAGTTAGTGCTGTCTCTAGAAGGACATGAGGTACTGAGGAGGAATCAGGCAGAGCCAGGGTGGATCCCTGCCTTGTCACTCACTCTCTGTGTAACCTCAAGCAATATTATGTCCTCTTCTCTAACCTTATCCAGCCCAAGGTTGTAGTAAGGATTAGATGAGATCACATTTGTAAATCACTTAACAGTGTGTAGAACCTATTGGGTCTACATTGTGGTAGCCACTTCATTGTTATTGTTATTCAAAGAGGCACACTACCATAATGGCCTGACTAGATGGGAAGAGGAATTCTGGTGATGATAATTCTTTGAGTGACTAACACATTCAAACTTACACCCCAGGCACAATCAGCCATAGAGTGACCAGTCATCCCGGTTTGCCCCTGACTTTTCCAGTTTGGTGCTGAAAGTCCCTCTTCCTGGGAAACTCCTCCATTGGAGGATTTACCCTAAACTTTCATTTCTCTTACTATGTATCTATTCCTTGGTTTTTCTCCTTTGACCAGCCAACCTTGAACCGCCATCCTTGAAGTTCATGCCCTCAGGGAGTCAAACCTTTTCCAGGTCATTCCCTGTTAAAACCAGAGTGGCCCACTCTGTACTCCCTTCCCGACAAGTCATGCCTCTGAAGCCTATCCCTTTAAAAAACACTCTTTTTATAGAAAGAAATGAAAAACATTTGCTGAAGTGATTTTTTTTTTTTTTTAAACTCAAGCATTTTTATAATAAAACGATGTAGATCATTTTTCCAAATAAGCCTTTCTCTCTCATTTGAAAAGCAAATAAGTCCCAGCTGCTTTTAACCTGGAATACTCTGGAGCCTTTGTATTGTAGCCCATGGCAGCACTTTCAACTCCGTCTTTCAAAGACAGTCTTAGAGAAAAAAGAGTGTATGTGTTTGGGACTAAGGTGCCCCTGACCCAAGCCATGGTATTTTCAGTTACCTCATATGCTTACAAAAGCTGAACAGTGAATAAGGAAGAATACACTTCTTCTGCTGTAGAAGAAGTGATGCTTTTGAGTTATGGTGTTGGAGGAGAATATTGAAAGTGCCATGGACTGCCAAAAGAACCAACAGATCTATGTTGGAAGAAGTGCAGTCAGAATGCTCCTTGGAGGCCAGGATGGCCAAACTTCATCTCTCATAGTTTGCACATATTGTCAGGAAGGACCAGTCGCTGGAGAAGGGTATCATATTTGGTAAGGTGGAGGGTCAGAGAAAAAGAGGAAGATCCCCAGCAAGATGGATTGGCAAAATGGCAGCATTAATGAGCTCAAGCGTGGCAACAATTGTGAGGCTGGGCCAGGAACTGAGCAGTATTTTGTTCTGTTGTACTTAGGGGTCCCTATGAGTCGGTACTGACTCGATGGCACCTAACAACAACATGTGTTTGGGAAAGGATTAAGAGAGTACAAGGTGAAGTCAAAAAGTTTTGAATGGAAGCCTTTATTTGAAAGCACTTATTTGTAATTTGTACATACCAATGCCAGGGACTATTATTGTGGATGGAGGGAAGTCACTGGCAAGCTGTCCCAGTCAGAGAGAATTCTCCGATGTCTACTTGAAAGCCATTATCAGTAGCCCCTCCCATCACACCAGCAGGACTCAGTGTGCTCTACGCCTTTGGAACATTCTGGTATCTACAGATGCCACCTCCTGTCTCATCAGTCTCCACCTTTGTGCCCTCTGACCACTGGGACTGTGCATGTCTACTCAATGGATGAAGGGCCCCGTAGGAGATGTCACTCAGTCCTCAGTGACTTCAGGGAAAAGGCGGACAGGAAGGAGGCGTGGGGCTTGTTCTCAGAGGCAGACATATCCCAACCTGGGGATGTGGAAGGGAGAAGGCTACGTGGGTTTGTGTTCTCAGGCTGCCCTCCTTGCCCTGGCCACACTCAACCAACTGATGCAGAGACATTTGGTCCCAGAAGCAGGAAGTGACAGAGGAGCCATCTCAACTCTTGCAGGGATTAGATTGCAGGACCTCAGTCCAAACCCTCAACCTGTGGTTTCTATACACACACATACACACACACACACACACACACACACACACACACCTGGAAAGCTGAAGCCCAAGGACCAACCACTCTCTCAGAAAAACCTAGAAATGTCACAGAGCCAGGACTGCATAAAACCTGGTCTTGAAACCTAGATGCTAGAATGAGGTTATGTGCTTCTCCTCAATTTAGAAGACTGTCTTATTCTGGGTTTGCTGGATGTCCCCATTCCCTTCCATTCAGATCTGCCCTCATGAGCCCAATTCAGCATCAATTGACTCCTCAGGATACTGAGAGACTCTTCTGACTCCTGCCATTGGCCAATTAGGAAGACCTGTCATTGGTCCATTCCCCACCTCTTCTCCACAGGGCAGATTTGCCATGGGAACCACAGCTCCTCTGAGATAGTCCCTCCCAGGCGGAGAGTGCAGAAAGCCTTCCACCCATATGCCAAACACACACACACACACACACACACACACACACAAAGCCTTCCACCCATATGCCAAACACACACACACACACACACACACACACACATATCCTTTTGGGCCAATGGGAGGCCTCTGGAATGACCTGGCAGGTGAGGGGTAGAGGCATCAACCTCATCTCCTCAGTTCCCCTCCTGGTCTGTCCTGCTCTCCCCAGTCCTGTGTCGAAAGCTCTCTGACCAGGGTTAGGTTTCTGCCGCCCAATTCTGCTCTCTCCTCTTGCTGCCCTTGCTACTTGTTGCCTTAGAGGCTTGAGGTTGGGGAGGATTGGCCAGGGGGGCTTGGCATTGAGTGTCTCCTGTGTATGTGCCTGTGTGTGCGCATGTGTGTCCTTTCATGCTCCAGGTTTGACTTTGAGGGTCTGGAGAGCAGTGACGATGGTGCGTTCGACAAGCTCCGGTCCTGGAGCAGGTCCATCGAGGACCTGCAGCCGCCCAGCGCCTTGTCGGCCCCCTTCACCAACAGCCTCGCTCGCTCTGCGCGCCAGTCTGTGCTCCGGTATGTGTGTGCTTGCTCTGCCCGCCTGCCTCCACCCTTCCCCGAGTCCAGACCTTGGGTAGCAGTGGTGAGTGCTCATGAGCCTCCCACCACTCTTGCTTCTAGGCTCAGCTCTCTTGCCCTCTGCCTGCCAGTCTGTCTCTGGTCTGTCCTCTCTGTCTCCTTGACTGCCCAGCGATCTGTCCTGGGTAAGTACATCGTCCTTGGCTGTGCCCACCCCATCTGGGGTCCCAGCTCTTCCCTCTACTTGCCCCCTCTCGGGAGGGGGGCCCTCTGCTCCTTATTCTCACTGCCCTTCCTCCCAGGCCTCTAGGGCAGTGGCTTGTCCTCATGCAGCTCCTTGACCTTCACTGAGTTTATCCTGCTCCTGCCCTCATGTCTGTCTCCTTCTAGCTCTTCACTCGCCTCCATCCGCTGCCCAGAGACGGTCTCCCACCCAGCCCACCTCCACTTGCTTCCCTTCACTTCACTGTCTTCCTTGAGGCCTTTTCTCTCCAAGGCTGCAACCTGTTTTTTTGTCTGCAGTGTCTTAAGAGCTGTTCTGCCTGGAGGCAGGTGGATGGACCAGTTGACCTTCCCAGCCGGGGTCCAGTGGCCCTTTACACTCTGTCTCTCTCGTGTTCATGCTTTTCTCCTGCTCCCTTTTGGGTTGGGTTTCTCGGACACAGCTCATCATTCTAGTCATGTTTCCTCAGTCATGCATGAGCAGATACCATTTGGTGTGCTTCCTCTTTTTTTCACGAAACGTCATTGAGTGGGTGGAGGGAGTGCAAAGTCGGATGTAGCCCACTAGGGATCTGTTCTCGGTAAAGTGGGATGGAAGTTCAGGTGCTCATGCCCCAGGCAGTGTGCTGAAGATGTAACATCTGGAAGTAGGAGAAGGGAAGGCTCACCGGACCCATCATTAGGACCACGAAGGCCTCACACACCTACTATCTGTATTGTGAACCTATTGGGAGATCTCTATTGGGTTAGGATGACTTGGGCACTGATTGTGAAGCCAGGAACCTGGGTAATTGTTGACAGAAGCCTGTTCAAGGACTGACTGGTTGCCCTGCTACTTGTGCATTGTCTCTTGGGGCTGTTGGTACATGACCCTCTTTCCCCTCTTCTGCTGCTGCTAATAGGCAGCCTGTGTGATGGTGAGCGCTCCTGGATATTTCCCAGCAGCCTCAGCGCCCCTCACTGTCTGGCCCTCTCTCCCAGGTATAGTACTCTCCCAGGGCGCAGGGCCCTGAAGAACTCACGCCTGGTGAGCCAGAAGGACGATGTCCATGTCTGCATCCTCTGTCTCAGAGCCATCATGAACTACCAGGTAAGGGGGTGGCATGAGCCATGGCTACTTGGCCTCTGGGGCCTGCTCTGCTAAGCCAGGAGACTTAGCAGTGTACCTGCTTATAAAAGGCAGGCCTGCTGGAAGCCCTAGTGAAGGAGGTCCATGGGATCTACCTTCACCATCAATGTCTCCCTCCTTCTGTCCTTTCTCCTTACAGTATGGATTCAACCTGGTCATGTCCCATCCCCACGCTGTCAATGAAATTGCACTTAGTCTCAACAACAAGAACCCAAGGTGAGCTGCTTCCCCCTCTTCCCCTCTTTTCCTGCCTGGGACTCTTCCCTAACAGGAAGGCCTTGGGGGCATCTTTCCTATTTACCCTTTAGGACCAAAGCCCTTGTCTTGGAGCTCCTTGCTGCTGTGTGTTTGGTGCGAGGAGGTCACGAAATCATTCTTGCTGCTTTTGACAATTTCAAAGAGGTGAGTGTCATGCATTTCTGTGTGTGTGTGTTTGTGGGGAAGGAAGCCACCTAACATTGACAAGCCAGGTAGATAAGCATCATTTCCTGTCATCTCCTGCCTTTCTCACACTGTCCCACTCCTGACCTCTGCCACACTTTTTGTTGTTCTTTCTTTAACCAAAATTAGAACTTCAGTCTTACCAGCTCTTATGCTGGGGAAGCTCCTGATTGGCCAGCTAAGGATGCCCTCAGAAGTCCAGTGGAGAGCTTGTTTAAAAATATGAAGGGGCCTTCAAGAAGTTTGTGGAAATTAAAAGATAATGAAAGTTTTCTATGAACTTTTTGAAACCCTCATGTAAATCCTGGGGCCCTACTGCAAACCCACTGGAGAACTGGGTGTCTGTATTCAGGACTCCCCAGGTGCTTCTGGTACCATAAACCCACGGTAGAACCCAAAGCAGATATGTTTGAAGTGGAAGGAGAAGGCAAGCAAGGGACGGCTCTGAGGTGAGGGGAGCTGGAGTACCTACTGGAATTTCCCCAGCCTCTGGGCCTGGCTCTGAAGCCCCTGTCTGCCTGAACATAGGATTCCTCAACATCCAGCACAGCTGCTGGTCCCACCCCTTCCTCCTCTTTGGACCTCTTCCCTAGCATCCATTGTTCAGGCCAGGAAACGGCTCTTCCTCCTTGAAGCCCAGAGGCTCAGAGGAGCTGCTGGACCCTCTCAGCAGAGGGTCTTTCCGGCCCCTCCCAGGACCTTAGGCTCCTGCCCCAGCCAGGGCCTGAGTCCCTTCCTCCTCCTTCCCTCTTTCAATGAAGTAGGCAGTATCAAACCCAGGTGTTTTTTCTTGGCCAACTCCCAGAGGCACCTGCAACACTGCCTAAGGGTATCACAAGTTGGTGAGGAGCCAGGGGTCCTGGACCAGGTCTTAGGTCTTCTTTGATAGAGTCCTGAATTGCTCATTTTGTAGTTTTGGTTGAACTTGGTCTGAACCAGTCTCTTTTCCACTACTGTTTCTGGAGGCCAGGACTCAAGCTTGGGTTCTGACTGGGACAGAAGTCCTCACTGAGCATGTTTGCCTGTTCAGGTATGCAAGGAGCTGCACCGCTTTGAGAAGCTGATGGAGTATTTCCGGAATGAGGACAGCAACATCGACTTCATGGTGAGGAGCTCCTTAAGGACACATGCTCCTTAAGGACAGGGAACAGGCCAATGGTGTATTTTGATAATCCATCTAGAACCCTGAATGGCTCTCTGGACTCAGTAAATGCTCCTTGTCCACCTGCATGCCCCAGAATGCTTTTAGAAACCTCAGTGACTAGTATCTTTGGGTGTCCGATCACCTTCTTTTCCCAGGCTCATATCATACCCATACTGTTCCTAATTGGAGCCTTTCAGGTCTGCCTTCCTTTTCTTCAGCCTAGGGTCTACAGCTAGGCTGTCTCAAGAATTATCTGCTGAGGTACGAAGGAAACCCTTCCAGAGATGTGTCTTCATTCACGTCTATTTTTCACATAATTTATTCATCTTCACATACTGAATATTAAGTTTCATGTTTCTTAAGCTACAATAATTGTGTTTACAACTAGAAAAGACTGAACTTGGTCATTCATTCCTTTGGATTTATCCATCTGTTCTTGCTGATGATGATTCTAACAGCTGCCTCCCCTCCCTGTCTACTGGGTGTACCCTCTGCCCTTCCCATCTCTGCCTCCCCGGACTGCTGCTTCCCCAGGTGGCCTGTATGCAGTTTATCAACATCGTGGTGCACTCAGTGGAGGATATGAACTTCCGGGTTCATCTGCAGTATGAGTTCACCAAGCTGGGGCTGGAGGAGTTCCTGCAGGTGAGCTGGACCAGGGTGCTCACAGGGTGAGGTGCTGGGGCTCGCAGGAGCAGCTTAACCTGTATCACAAAGGTTTTTGCTTGTTTGTTTTTTTAACAAGAGCCTGGTCCTACATGCTCCTGGCACCCTGCCTGTCTTCTGCCAGGCAGCTCCCTGTAGGCGAGAAGCTGACACATGACCAGTAGTAGGAACTCCTTAGTTCTGTGCTCCAGCAAGTGGCAGTGGAAGAGGAGGGAGACTCAGTCTTGGTCAGAAAGCTCCTTTTACCCTCTACCTGCTCCCCCCAGCTGTTCTTGCCTCTGCTTTCCCCTAGAAGTCTAGGCACACAGAGAGCGAGAAGTTGCAGGTGCAGATCCAAGCATACCTGGACAATGTGTTTGACGTGGGCGGGTTGCTGGAGGATGCAGAGACCAAGAATGTGGCCCTGGAGAAGGTGGAGGAGCTGGAGGAGCATGTGTCCCATGTGAGTGGTCTTTCTTTGCCTGCCAGAGCCATCGTTGGGCCAAAGGATGAAGGATGATGGGCCATCCAGAGATCCTGAACTGAGCCACCTGCCTTCAGATTGAGCCCAGAGAAGCCTTAGACATCTCGGAGCTCTTAGACATGCTCTGCCTGAGGCCTTTGGTCATCCCCAGACTGCAGCGCACAGCGTCCTCCAGGGCTGGGCAGTATCCGTCCTGGGCTTAGGAGAGCTAGGTTGTGGCCATTTGCCTGCTCTCTGATGTAACCTCACATGGTGTCAGACGCTGGGCCCAGGACACCTCCTACCTGGAGGGGTTTGGCTGGGGTCCTGGCTGGAGCTGTGTTGAGCACCCAGGCATTTGGGTCAGCCCCAATCCTATCTTCCTGTCCTGCAGCTCACAGAGAAACTTCTGGACCTAGAAAATGAGAACATGATGCGGGTGGCCGAGCTTGAGAAGCAGCTGCTGCAGCGGGAAAAGGAGCTAGAGAGCATCAAGGTACCGAGTGATGGGTACTGACTGGCCAAGCACCTGCTGCCTCACTTCAGTCCCTGAGTCATGCAAGTTCTGTAAAATGTGGTGCACGCTCAAGGCACCCCATTCTTTAGTAGGGGAGGGAAGCAGAAGCCAGAAAGACTGGGGAGGCACAGGAAAGAATGAGAGCAGATAGGGCTTCCACGGGTACCCTGGAGTTCTGGGCCAGCGCTCCTCCTTCCAGCCCATCCTGTACCTCCATGAGCTTTCCCAAGTCCTGTTCAGTGACAGGGGTCAAAGCAGCCCCAAGTCAGGAGAGCTGTGACTCCTCACATTCCAGCCTCTTCTGTTTTCTCACTTAACTTTCTGGTAGTGATAAAATCATGTCCTCAACCTTAGTTTTTCTTCCATATACACTCATACCATCTCCATTAACTCAGGATACATTTGCTGAGTCCCTGATAAGGGTCTGGAGCACTGTGTTGGGGGATCTGAAGATGCAGGACCTTGCCCATAAGGGGCTTTCCATTCAGGGATTATACAAGGCCAGATGAGATCAAAAGGATAATAATGAGGCACAGAGGGCTCTGGAGAGAGAACAGCTATCAGACTGCTGTTGATCAAGAGCATTTCTCAGAGGCAGCCTTGTCTCTGGGCCTTGAGGAACCAGTGCAGTGAGAATAAGGCTGAAGCAGAGAGGAAGGAGGTGCCACTGGAGATGAGCAGGTTCTCCTGGTCACCTCTTGTGCTCTGCTACACTTCAGCTTCTGTCCCCCACCTGGATTTCTGCCACCCTCTGCCTCTGGGCCCCCTTACAGATGTCCTTCTTGCGAGACCCTTGAGTAGGAATTCCTCTGGTTCAGTTTCAGTTCTTAAGGCAATGATTGCGGTCCCTGCAACCCACTCTTTCTTTAATGGTGCTGTCTGCCTGATAGGAGACCTATGAGAGCACCAACCACCAGGTGCACACCCTGCGACGGCTCATTAAAGAGAAGGAGGAGGCCTTCCAGCGCCGATGCCACTGGGAGCCAAGTGCCCGGGGCCTGGAGTCACTGGGCAGCGAGGCTCTGGCCAGGGTGGGGCCTGCAGTGCTGAGTGAAGGCATGCTGCCCTCTGACCTGGACCTCCTGGCTCCAGCCCCACCTCCTGAGGAGACCCTACCTCTGCCTCCCCCGCCAGCTCCTCCTTTGCCCCCTCCACCTCCCCCGTTACCAGGTAACCAAGACCCCTGAGAGTCGGGGCTAATCCCGTTGTGGGGGCAGATCAAAACCCTAGTAAGCAGTATCTTCCTCAGAAAGAAACAGAGGAAACAGCATCATTTAAGGGCTAGAAGGACAAAGCAGGGTGAGAGAAGGCTGAGGGAGGGTTTGAAACTAAGGTAGGCTAAAGGTCAGTGGTTCAAACCCACCAGTAGCCCCATGGGAGAAAGATGTGGCCATGTGCGTCTGTAAAACTTACACCCTTGGAAACCTTCTGGGGCAGTTCTGCTCTATCCTGGAGGGGCACTCTGAATTGGAATCAACTTGCTGGCACATACCAACAAAGTTCCTAGAGGGAGGTCCAAGGGCAGCTTTAAGGATCGTGAAGATGCTGTTTCTAGTTTCTCTGAAGACAGCTAGGAGAGACTCAGTCCACAGCAGGAGAAATGTGTCATCGGCTAGCAGGAACCGCTCTGCAAGAGTTGGGGCTCCTTTGAGCAGCTTGGCCTCCTTCCCTGAGAGCCTCTAAGGGAGGTGGGGTGGCAGAAGTGGGAGGAAGCCTCTAAAGAGTCTCCTGGACTCTGGGCCACTGCGCTATCTCTGTTTCCCCTTAGACAAGTGTCCTCCAGCCCCACCACTCCCTGGAGCTGCTCCCTCTGTGGTGTTGACAGTAGGCTTGTCAGGTGAGTGAGTGTCCATGGGGCGCAGGTAAGGCCCATGAGACCAGGGAGTGTGTCCCTTGGCCCCTGCCTTGCTCATCTGATTTTTCTTAAAACTAGCCATTCGCATCAAGAAACCCATCAAGACCAAGTTCCGGCTGCCTGTCTTCAACTGGACAGCTCTGAAGCCCAACCAGATCAGCGGCACTGTCTTTAGCGAACTTGATGATGAGAAGGTCTTGGAGGTCAGAGGGCCAGGGTTCATAGGGTTGGGCTTGGGGACTGGGGACCATATTGTCCTTTTAGCCAGGCCTCTTCACTTTGGAACAGCCCACAAACTCAGGATGGGTTCAAGGCCTGAGTGGGACCAGTGTTAGGCCTGCTGTCAGGGGTTCCTCTACTTGCATTTTCCCTCGTGTACTCCGGCTAGGACCTGGACCTGGACAGATTTGAAGAACTGTTCAAGACGAAAGCCCAGGGCCCTGCACTTGACCTCATCTGCTCCAAGAATAAGACAGCACAAAAAGCTGCCAGCAAGGTGACCCTATTGGAAGCGAACCGTGCCAAGAACTTGGCCATCACTTTACGCAAGGCTGGCCGCTCAGCTGAGGAGATCTGCAGGGCCATCCACACGTGAGGCTCCCTCTGATCTAGCCCTGGCCCCCAGCCTTCTACCTAGGAGCCTGGCCTTCCATAGGATCTAGGGCATCTGACAGAACCCCAGCCATTCACTGACCTGGCCAGAACTTCCTGCATCTGTATTGCATACCGAGCACTGTGTGAGGGGACTAGGGATTCAGCCCAGCCCTTCACACGGAATTCCCAGTGTAGTGGGAGCATACCAGTGGCATTCAGTGAGAACTTCCAAGATAGCAGAGACAGGTAGCTCTGGGGGAACAGGGAGAGGGGGGCCATGTAGCCAAGCTTGATAATCAAGAAGGCTTCCTTCCCAGAATCTTCTCAACTAGGACCCACAGGAAGTCTACATCTTGATCCAGTTCAGGGCCTGGAGGGAAAAGCATAGCCCCCTGGGTACTGTGCATGACACCCTTACCCACCCCAAGACCTTCCAGAAGCTGGAGAACAAAAGGGATGAAGGGAAAGTAGGCAAACCTGGGGCCTGAGGTGCTCCCTCCCTCCTACACAGGTTTGACCTACAGACACTACCTGTGGACTTCGTAGAGTGCCTGATGCGCTTCCTGCCTACAGAGGCCGAGGTGAAGCTGCTGCGGCAGTATGAACGTGAGAGGCAGCCCTTGGAGGAGTTGGCGGCGGAGGACCGCTTCATGCTGCTCTTTAGCAAGGTGGAGCGGCTGACCCAGAGAATGGCTGGCATGGCCTTCCTGGGCAACTTCCAGGACAATCTGCAGATGCTCACGCCGGTACGCCCCCACTCCAATCCATGCTCCTCTGCAGCTCCCACCTTCCTACACCTCCCCTGGCCTGCTGGTCCTTCCAGTCCCTCCCTGACTTTCTTCTGTCTGGCTGCTTCCTCCCTCCTTCCAGCAACTCAATGCCATCATTGCAGCCTCTGCCTCCGTCAAGTCCTCCCAGAAGCTGAAGCAGATGTTGGAGGTGGGCAGAGATTGTGGACAGGGATGGATGCTGGTGGTTCCCAGGCCCTGGGAGGCAAGAGTCTCTGGGGGCTTGTACTGACCTGCCTCCCACACATCTTTTGGACAGATCATACTTGCTTTAGGAAACTACATGAACAGCAGCAAGAGAGGAGCTGTGTATGGCTTCAAGCTCCAGAGTCTGGATCTGGTAAGATGGGGTCCACATGGGGCCAGAAAACCAGAGGGGTTTGGGGCTGTGGAGCAGTTGCTCAGTCCCCCTGTACCGTCCCCACACTCTCTCAGCTGCTGGACACCAAGTCCACTGACCGGAAGATGACGTTGCTACATTTCATTGCCTTGACGGTGAAGGAGAAATACCCAGACCTTGCTAACTTCTGGCATGAGCTGCACTTTGTGGAAAAGGCTGCAGCAGGTGAGGGGATCCTGGCCGGGCGAGCTCTCACATTCAACCCAAGGACAATCCTAGGAAGCTAGGAGGAGAGGGAACACTTGGGTCTGCTTGCCTCTTCTTTCTGACCACTACTTCAAAGTTTTCCGCCCGGGCTATGAGCAGAGACTACCCCAGAAGGAGCCTTCCTCCAGGCTCCAGCCTGGCCCAGCCCTTCCCTCCTCTGTGATGGGAGCAGGAACGGGAAGGGGAGTAGTGGCTTTTTATTTTCAACTCCCTCAAGTCTGCCCAGAGAGACTGCGAGCTTCCCTGTGATGGACATGAAGTGTTTAGGAAACCCTAACGTCTTTAAGACATAAGGTGGCGGTTATTTCTGCCCCCACTCCCACCACGACAACAAGGACAGACTAGGGGCAGTTGCATTTTGGAGACCCGTAATCTCTTGGCTTGCCTCCCTTTGCTGCCTTGGTTGGGTCTCGGTCTTGGTCCCTTTCCTGCTTGCACCAGGCTCTGTGAGGCCCAGCTAACTTGGTGTAGTCTGTGTCCTTATGGGTGGCTCAGGGCAGGGAGGCCGAGGAGGGCTTGAGCCTGGGTCCAGGGCCTCAGCCAGGACTCTGCTGACCAGTGTCCCTGGAGAACGTGCTGCTGGATGTGAAGGAGTTGGGCCGGGGCATGGACCTGATTCGGCGTGAGTGCAGTCTGCATGATAACAGCGTCCTCCGGAGCTTCCTCAGCACCAATGAAGGCAAGTTGGACAAGCTCCAGCGAGACGCCAAGACGGCTGAGGTGAGCACAGTGGAGGTGGATGGGAGCACTCAGGCCAAGAGGCCGTGACCCTCCCGGTGGGCTTACAGCACAAGAAACTTTGGCTGATGGTTGGCTTTGGGGGTGGCAGGCACCCATGCTAGGTGCTTTGGGAGCCTCAGGCCTTTCAGCACACAGGGGTTCGGGCTACTTCCAGCCCCATGATCCCTTCGGTTCCCTGTCCCCTAGGAGGCCTACAATGCGGTTGTTCGCTACTTTGGTGAGAGTCCCAAGACCACTCCTCCGTCTGTATTCTTCCCAGTGTTTGTCCGTTTCATTCGTTCATACAAGGTAAGCAGAAGAGAGGCTTTGAAGAGGAGTTTGGAAGGGGATGAGGAAGAGAGGGCTGAGTCCTCTGAGTCCCAGGGAGGGAGGGATCCAAGCTGGCGGCAGGCCCCTTAGCTGTGAAGTGGTGGGCAGGGTGGGGGCCCAGGCCCTTCCTGTCATTGTTTGGGGCAGGAAGTGCCCCTCCAGAGGGTGGCCACCTGGGGTTAGCTGGTCCCACTGCCACCCAGTCTCCACCCTCAGTGCTAGCCCCACCCCTATAACCTGTGTGCACCTCACCCCCCACCAACCTTCTATGGTTCCCAGGAAGCAGAACAAGAGAATGAAGCCCGCAAGAAGCAGGAAGAGGTCATGCGGGAGAAGCAGCTGGCTCAGGAAGCCAAGAAACTAGATGCCAAGGTAGGTGGGACCAAGTTGTAGCCTGGAGGAGGGCAGGGAGGGTGGTGCGGAGAGTTACAGAGGGAGATGGAAAACTGGAGCAGAGAGACCACCCAGAGGGCCTGAAGACGAGAGTCCAAAGGGAAGGAGGGGAAATGGGGCTGGAAGGAAGGGGGTGGGTCTGGGAGGAGGCTGCCTGAGCAGCAGTGTACCTCCAGGAGCTTCCCAGACTGCACCCTGGGGCAGGAAGCAATCCTGTTAGGGCAGTGATGAGCCCCTTCCCCTTCAAATGTCTGGCCCCAGACCCCATCCCAACGGAACAAGTGGCAGCAGCAGGAGCTCATTGCTGAACTGAGGCGGCGCCAGGCCAAGGAGCACCGGCCGGTGTATGAGGGCAAGGATGGGACTATCGAGGACATCATCACAGGTGGGCCCCCCTCCCAAAGTCCAGCCCAACCCCTTCTGGCTCTCCTGACACCCCCATCCCCATGGGGCCTGACCACTGTGTCTCTCTTCTGGGCCACAGTGCTGAAGAGTGTCCCCTTCACGGCCCGTACTGCCAAGCGGGGCTCACGCTTCTTCTGCGATGCAGCCCACCATGATGAGTCAAACTGTTAACCCCCAAGGCTGGGGCCCTTACAGGTACCGGGCACCACAGCTGCCCCACTGCATGTCCATTGGCCGAGGCCTGCTGCTGCTGAGCCCCACAGGCCCTGCCCTTCCCTGCATGACTAGGAGCCATCTTGATGGGGACAGATTGCTCTCCTTGCATGCCCCATGCTCTGAGAAGCATGATCTGTGCCCTGCATGTGCCCTTAGGGGTGTGGTATCTCACCCACTAATGCTGTCCTGGCCTCTATTAAGACCCAAGGGGAAGGGAATTGCCAGACTGAGGTTGAGAACCAGGCAGAGCAGATAAAACCAGGACTGTTACTGGTGAGAGGTTCTATTCCTAGGACCAGGGTAGCCTTGGTCCTCACCTCCCTTAGGGCTGCGTCTGACCAGAGCTCTGGCAGTGGCTATTGCCCTGGGGCAGTTAGATGTCCCTGGCCTTCAGTTTCTTAGTAGTTAGCCTGAGGTTTCCTCCCAGCTCTGGCTCTTGCTGGGTGGGCCTGGTTTCTGCCCACAGGCCCCTGGTCCTTCTCCACCCATTCTCCAAAGACAGAAAGCCCTGTACTTCCCATTGCCTTCTGGGGCCTCTTCTGAAGCTTCTCCCCTATCTACCTCCAGGCTGGCTTCTTTCTGGCTCCACCTGTGGGACTGCCCCCAAAGGCTCTGCTCCTCTGGAGGGTGGGTCTGGCCTGACCTCCCTGTCTGCTCATAAGCTTCTATTTTTCCTGCAGGCCTCCACTGCCAGCCAATTGTCGTTCGATATCAAGTCAAGAGTGTGGCACCACCCAGCGGCCCCCCTCGGGCCCCGGGCCCCCACTAAGACCCTCTGGAGGTGGGGCACAGAAGTCCTTCAACCTCAGAGTCCTGTGAATCCAGCCAAGGGCCCAGTAAAGGCTGTGCTGCTCACAACCCCAGAGCCTGGCCCATCCCTGTGCCTCCAGTACTGACTGCACTTTGCCCAAGGCCTTTAACTTCATTTTCCGAAGGGTCAGCACAGGGCTGGGAAAAACCAATCCCAGCTTTCGTCTCCAAGGGGCTCCCAAGGACTCCCTCTCACTAGAGCCCAGAGGGATAAGAGGAAAAAGCTTACTATCCCATGCTTTTGCCTGCCTCTTCACAGCCTTATGGGTCAGTTTAGGGCCAGAAGTTTCCAGGCTTAGTACCCTTGCCAACGTCAGCTCATCTCTTACCAGGAGCAAGGCCCTCTGAAGCCTGGGCCCCACCCAGCCCAGCTGTGCCCTGGTGATAGGGGAGAGGGCAGCCCTTACCCCTGGGCCCTGCAGTCTCAGCCAGCTCGGTCCTGGCTAAGGTGGGCAGAAGTAGTGGGGGGTTTCTCTGCAGCACCCCTGGGAAAGCTGGAGGAAGGGTCTGCACAGCATTCTCACCTTCTTTCCCCAGCTAGGGGCTTTTGTTGGGGAAGGAGGCTTGATGGTTTTAGCTGACCAGTTCAGCTCTTTCTCGCCCTGAGAAGGAATGCAGGGACCCTTTCCTTTTTGTACATGAACCTCCCCTTCTCTCTTGTACATAAACCCCAGCACCAGGCCTGACTTGTTCTTTCTGAGTTTGGGGGGCTAGGGTGGCCACTTGACCTGAGCCATGGTGGGAAGAAAGGAGGCTGGGAGGAAACACATCTGCTTCAGGGATGAGAGCTCAGAAGCTGGGGGAAAGGGAGCCTGACTGGATGGGCGCCAACCACATAGAGAGAGGCTGACCAGCCAGTGAGACACTGGCGCCCTCTGCTGGGTATGTGTGCACCCACCAACCTGCTGTTGGTCCCAGGAGCACATGGAAAAGACAGTCACTGGCCATGTTATAAATATTGTTATTTAAAAAAAAAAACAACCAACCAACCAAAACCACACATACATGGGGCCCCAGGTCTGGAAGGGGGAGGGGGGAACCCCAGGCCAGGGTGGGCAGGAGCAGGCACTGATGCTAGAGGGTAAAGACCCTGCCCTCTGCCACCTAGGCTGTGTCCATCAGCCTGTGGCTTGTCTCACATTTTATCTACTGGCATCACCTGCCCCACAGGGCATTACCACGAAGCTCTGGTCGGGCTGAGGGCAGGGATGGCACTAGTTGTCTGGGAAGGGGAGGCCCTTGAACGCCAAGAGCGACCTTGTGAGGTGCCAACAATGATGGGTTGGGATGGGGTTACTTTAAGAAACGTGGACACAGACCAGTGGACACAGACCCGGCTAAAGAGGAGCCTGGGGCAGACGGTGTGGGTAACCTAGGAGCAAAGCAGCCTGCAGGTCACTGGTGGTCATCCAGCTGCTGTAGGAGCGTCCGCCGCCGCCTCTCCAGCTCGCCTTCACTCAGCTCACTTTCCGATGTGTCCCAGCCTGTCTGTTGGAGCAAAGGCCTGGCTGACCTCAGGCCTCAGACGAGAACCAAGGGGGCCTGGCCAGAGTGCTGACGGACTTGGAGCCAAAGCACCTGCCTCTCACCTTTTCCTTCTTGATTCCAAAGCCTGCAGAACGGTTAGGGAGCTCTACCCGCCGGAGCTCCCTCTCCTTGTCCTGTTCTTGTTCTTTCTCATCACTCTCCTTGCCAGCTTTGTCCTCAGGGTCTGTCTCACTCTCAGGACTGTTCTGTAAGAACCAGAGCCCCCCTGCTCAGTCCCAGTGAGAGTTGTGGATAGAGTCGATCTCACACGAGAGGACCTTGGTAGAAAAAGTTCCTTCTCTACTCACTGACTTGTGTCTTCTCTTCTTATTCTTTTTTTTTGGTTTCTTAACTTTCCGAAGGCCATGATCTAGAGATGGAAAAGCCCCTGATCAGAAAGTTCGTCCTTTTTTCTGCTACCGAACAGAAAAGCCCTCTTGTTCCTAACAGACTGGAGACAGGAGGCTGAGCCAATCTGGTTTCCCTTCTCCCAGGATTCTGCGGGGCCAGAGCCAGGCACTGTTTCTGCTCTCCTGCAGGTTCAGCCCTCCCTGCCTTGTACCCTCCACCTGGGCCTGCCAGGACCTGCCCTCTCTGCCCCAGGGTCCTGGCAACCACTGACCTGATCCAAGGAGGAGGCGGGAGGATGGGGAGCCCTGTCCCCCAACAGCAGCAACCCCACTCTCAACCGAGTCAAGTGAGGAAGAGGGCTCAGAGCCTGACTCAGAGGGGTTCCGCCGCCGCCGCTTGGGGGGCCGGAGAGACGGTGGAGGCAGCTCCTCCTCTTCTGACTCAGAGCCCTGGGCAGAGGAGCAGACGTGAGCACCTCAGCTGTCAGCACAGAGGCCTCAAGTCTGGGAATGGGGAACAGGGGAAGATCTAGGGCCAAAGGAGTCCTGGAAGGTGCACCCACAGAAAGGACAATCGGAAGTGCTCCCTATTTCCCCCAGCGATCCGACCTCACCCCATGCCCCTTCTCCCACACTCACTGAGGGCGAGTGGGAGCGCTTGCGATGGTGCTTCTTGCCCTTTTTGCTGTGTTTCCGGCCTTTGGTGTGGAGGTGCTGGCATTCAGTCTGGCGGAGGCACAGAGGGTGAGGGAGGACCTGAATTAGTGCCTGTCAGGCGAGGGCCCAGGCCTGTCCTGCCGCCCTCTAAGGGCTCCCCTGCCTCCTGACTGGCCATGGGAGGAAGAGCCCTGGGGATGAGCAGTGGTTTTGGTCTCTGGAGTTGGTCCAGGTGTTCACAGGCCTGGGCAGCGGACAAGAGCCCTGCCTTACCTCCAGCACCTGCAGAAATTCCCGGAAGAGCCGGATCCGCTCCGACTCCAGGGTGATCTGCTCAAAGGCTGGGTCGCACACAAAGCGCTCACGGACCTTGAACGGGGAGAGCACTGCTGATGAGACCAGGCCCGGCCCAGCCTGGACACAGCCACGAGCACAGGGCAGGGCTGGGGCGGAGAATGGAGGGACTGGAGCTGGCCCGCAGCTGGGCCCTCAGTGCTCCAGAAGTCCCGCAGCCCTCAGGGTCGAGGGAGTGGTTTTTGGTGCCAGGCTGCGGTCCTGACCTCTTCCCAGGCAGTGCCCAGCTCCAGGGCAGGCACAGCCTGCCTCAGCATGCTTCGAAAGGCAGCTTCCCTGCGCCGCATCCTTCGTGCCTCCTCCTTCTCCCGCTCCCTCTCCCGGGCCTCCGCCTTCTCCAGCAGCTGAGGACAGAAAGGACACAGAACATGGTCACCAGCAAGTGGGTATTTGGGTCACATCTGGCAGACTTTAGAAGTGGGAGGTTGGTTGGAGCTGGGCTTCTACCAATATATCCCCTTAACCAGAGTAGTGAGTGATGAGTGCAACAAGACGCAAAATGAGTTAGAAATGGAGCCCCAGTTATGGCCCTGGCCCACCCAGCTCAGTCTGGCCCCTCACACTATTGAAGGTCAGCTTGATGTTGCCTGCGTCCAGCGCAGCAGCCCGCTTGTCAAAGCTTATGACATGGGCGAAGTCCTCAAAGGCTGTGTTCACCTCCACGCAGAAGCCCCGGTCCTGTGGGTATAGGAGCACATGTAGGCCAGGGCACCACCCACCACCTGAGGCCCAAAGCTGGCCTCCTGGGCAGGCAGAGGGTTGGATTGCAGGGTGCTCAGAAAATCCGCAGGAGAAGAAATCCATAGGACTGTAACATGCCTCTCAAACCAAACTGTCCAGGTCCTCATCCGATGACAGTCTCAACCCTTAGCTCAGGCACCTCCAAGTTGGGCATATGGAGTTGAGGAGGCTGCCTACACAGGAGTGGGGGCCGAGAATTCCCCATGACTTCACCCTTTTGCTTTGCCTTCCTTGTCTGCTGATTGACACTTGAGTCTTACAACTAGTTCTTTGTTCCTTGGTTTAAAGCTCAAGCCCCAGCTGGGCTAAACTGCTGCTTAGTTATGCTTTCATGCATTTTCTGCCAGCATCTGCTAGTAGTCCCCACCCTTCACTCTCCTGAGCACGAGGCTGAGTGCTCCACACACATGATCTCATTGAATCCTTACAGGTATCTCAACTTAGGCAGGAGAAACCAAGATTTAGAGAAGTGTAAGCAACTGCCCAAGGCCTCATCACTAATAAATGGCTGAACAAGAAATCTTCCCCACATCTTTCTAGC